TTGAAAAATTTAATATAAATATTTAAATTACTGAAAATAAAAAATGCATATATAAAGATATAAAAATATATCTAATAAAAAATAGATATTTACATCACATATAAATATTTATTTTATAAGATTAATATAAAAATATATTTACTAATAAAGTAAACTATAAAAATTATTTTTTATATTTTTAATAGAAAATTTATTTATTAATTTATTATTTTATATTATATAACTAGGCTAATACAATCTAATTATTACATAATTAATATGAGATTGACTTTTTTTAAAAATTTATTTATATATGACACACATATAACATATTTTTCATACAAATATTTTCTTTAATTAAAATTATATTAATATTTAAATTATAAAATGAATGATAAATAATAAACATATTGTAAATATTTTATAAAATTTACAATTATCTACTGTTAAGTAAGCTTCTAATTTATTGATAAAATTTAAATTTTATTTTTTATATTTTAATTTAAAATAATATTTTTTTATTTAACAAGAGCATTACAAACACAATTATAATTTATTAAATTTGAATAATATTATTCTTATCATTTATTTATATTCAAAGAAATTTAAAAAAAATTATAAAATATAAAAATATTATTTATTCTTATTTCTATATTTTACTGAGGTTAGTATATATTTTTATTATAATTTACATGTTAAATAATTTTTTCTTCAAATAGAAGAATATAATTTTTTTAATATACGTATATTTTTTTCATTATAAGATTTTATTGTAACCATTTATCTTTTATTCAAATTCTTTCTTTTATAACTTATATATATTATAAATATTTAATTCATAAAAATTATTTTTCAAATAAAGTTTTATTTTTGACAAAATATTTCTGTCCAGTGCGCCGATTGAAAATACTAGTATTAATATATATATATATATATATATATATATATATATATATATTATTTCAATTAAATCCATTATTTTCGTAAAAATTTCAGATTTAAAAATTAAAAAGAAAAAATGTATTATGTGTACACTTCTCCTTGTTGTTTAGTACTTGGTCAGCTATTGTAAAGATCTATCTTGTTATCATCCAATTTAGTGTCATCATCGTTCAATCAAAACTTATGCAAGATAAGGTCATCATTAATGAATTACCTATATGCTTAATTCTTCTTATAGTTTCTCAATACTTTAGAAAGTTGTTATATTAACATACACTTAACACTTGTAGTTTTTAAATATTTATTTTCTATCTATATTTAAACTTTATTTGACAACTACATATTGAATTTTTATATTATTATACTATTTATGTGAAATTATATAAACATATTTTTTTATATAAATATTATTTGCTTTAGACAAGCATGAGTAATAGGTGTGAATATGGGAATAGGTACAATAGTACCTTATCCATATCTTATACATTGTCATTCCTAGCGATGATAAAAGTTATTTTACTTAATATTTTTTTTTATAAATGTTGACTTTTGTGTAATCCAATTATTTTAAATAAAATAAATATACAAAAATTCATACAAATAAATAACAAATTAACAAGTTTATTAGATAAATTTGTAACGTGTAATATATATTTTTAAAATACAAATGAATATTAATAATAAAATTATATATTTATGAAAGTTTAATTTATCTAAAAATTGATTTTTATAATCTAGTATATGTATTTCATTTTATTTATTAATTAGATTGATGAAACTAAACATACACAAGCACACACAATTAAAAATTTACGAAACATTTTTTTAAAGTTTAATATATATTTTTAAAATAAATATTAATTATAGATAAAACGTGCACGTGTACACGCATGTTATGAATAATATATCATATATATTATCAACTGTTTTATAAAAAGTGTAAATAGTCAGTACTGTATGGATGTTAATTGTTTATTTAATAACGTCGAGTCATACATACTTTTTATTTTATTTTTATGACATTTTTTTGTTTAATTAATGTTATTTGAAATCAATGATCCATTTAAGAGATTTTTTTTTTTTTGCCCAATAGTTATCTGGTTTTTCCCTTTTAAGGAGAATCTTTCTTTATACTTTGCTTATTATCTTTTAAATAATGATATTGACTATGATGATGGTGAATTATTTAGTTTTATTTGAAGGTGGCAAGGACCTCAAAGGATCAAATTATCTCTTTCTAGAGTTGTTTATGGAAAACTGCTAACAAATGGGAAAAGGTTTGTTAGGGGTTTTACAAATTCTAGTCTATGTAATCAATGTTGCAACAACTCTAAAACAATAATGCATGTTCTTAAGGATTGTTTTGACTCCTGATATTTGGCATAATTTTGTTGTTGGAAATTATTAAGCTATTTTTCTTTTTCTTTTTTTCAGTTTAGGGTTAACTAGATGGCTTATTTTTAATTTCAAGTGTAAATGTTTTAATAGAATAAATCACTGGAACATACAATCTGGTGTTATTATTTGGCTGTTATGGTTAAATAGGAATGATTGGGTATTTAATAAGAAATCTCTAAATTTAAAAGATTTTTTGTATAAACTAAATTGTCACACTAGGTTCATTACAACTTATTATGTCTCTGCCTTTGTTCCTTTCCATAAGACCTTCAAGCAAGAAGTTCTTATTGGTTGGGCCCCACTCCCATTTCGACCCTTCAAGCAAAAATATAGATAGTTCAGTGTATTGATCAAGGGATGACTTCATGTGAAGGACAGATCAAGGATGAACAAGGCAAATTTTGTTCTATTATTCACTATGAATGGTAGGCTCTTTTAATGGAACTTAAGCTAGCTAAAGATCTCAACTTAGAAGATGAGGATGAGCTAATCTTTAATATCCTCCTCCTTAACTTGTTCCCATTCTCCAAGAGGATGATAAGGGAATATGTTTTCCTAAGATGATTAGTTAGTTTTCTATTATTATTTTTTTAATTTGTCCCATTGATAATAATAAAAAAATTAAGAGATATTTTTAATGTTATTTATTATTCAGTTTAAATGTATTATAAACTATATATTTATTTTGTATATATGTGTGTGAAGATATCATTTTTAAATTATTTTATTATATTTATTTTAAATTAAAAATTAATAAATTTTTAAAAATAAAATATATAACTAATGATAATACTTATCATTTATATATATATATATATATATATATATATATATATATTATTTAATGTATGATTCGATAATAAAGTCTCATTAATAAAACTTTTGTTTCCTAAAAAAAGTTGTGATTTTTTCATTTTATCTCTTTTTTTATTTTTTTTAATAAATCTCTCCAAAATTATTTTCTTTTTCATGCAATTTTTCTATTAATAATTATGTAACATTTAACTTAACTCATATAATATGATATAGAATTTATGTGAATAATAATATGACATTTACATTTTTATTTTCTTCGTATTTTCAAATTTCAATTTTAAAAGTTTAAACTTTATAAGTTAAAATTTCATTCAAATATCTTAATATGTTTCAATCAAACTGTATAAGCTAACTTAGATGTTATGTAAACAATTAATGTAATGTTAATAAATTACTAAGACAGAAATCACATAAAAATAAAAAATATTTTTGTGAGACTATATTTTTAAAAAATTATAAAGAGAAACTAAATAAAAAAAATTTCAAATTTTTAAAAGACCAAAAATTTATTTAATTTTTTTAATATTATGATAAGGGTATATTTTCACTTTCATCATAAAAAAAATGATTGAATTATAAAAAAATTGGAGCGTGAGATGTTTTTAATTGATTTTGTATATTTTGGAGGGAATATCCAGATTACTATTCAAAATTCAAAATAATTTATGATGACTAAAATTTTTCTATTTATCTGGTTGAATTTATAAGATTTAGTTAATTTTCTTTACGCTTTTCTTGGTGTCAACATCAATAATAATAATAATAATAATAACTATTCTTTTCCAACAATAAGAGCATCTTTACGGCAGATTGTATATTTTCTGAGAAATTGAGAATAGCGTAAAGAAAATGGTGCATCCAAGATTGTATAAGAATTTAAAATATTTGATAAACAACAACTAGGTTGTTGTGTTAATAATAGAAAATAAGTGAGATGGGTTTTATTTTTCCCTTATTCGTTCATGCAATGTAGTGATCTGTACTTTAACATGCCAATGCATATTTAACATGAATTTTGTCGGTTAAAATATGTTAAGACAACCATTTTGAAACAACCTATTTAGGTAGGCTAAAAAAATCGAAAAGAGGGCAAAACTTGTTGCCATGAACCTTGAAATTGCAACCTACGAGGCCAGTCCATTTGTCAATTTCTAAAATCACCCAATCATCAAGCTAGACCCTCTCTATTCTGCAAATCATAAAATTCAAAACTTTTTAAGATTTTTATTAGCAATGATTGATTCTATATATTTAATATTTATGGTTGTCTTAATCTGGTCATTCTCCAAAACAATCAATGGTTGACAATGTTTGACCTCACGTCTTAGTATTAAATAATGTAAATTCTAATATAAGAATTTTAAATTTTATATCTAAAAGTAATATCTTAAATGAATTAAAAGATTCTTCCCACATACGTATCATATATTCATTAATAATATTTTCCTTTATAAAATGCAAAATTTCAATTTTTATGATAAAATATTTATAATAAATCACCCAAGCATTCTTATATTACATTTATGTCAACTCATTATCGCTAGTTTTTACTTTAAAAATGAATATATTCATAGTCTATATATTATAATTGCAGATTTTATGCCTAATTGAACACAAATAGCTTTTTTTTTCTATTTACTAGTTTCACCTTGTAATGTCATTTAAGATTAATTTGTATACACATAAGTCAAACTCAAGACTATTAAGTTAAAATAATCTTATATGAATTGCTCCACAAACTAAATAATAAATATAATTAATTAATATATTTCTTATGATATTGCTTTAAACTACATTTTTTATATTTGCAAACCAAACTAATTCAGACACCAACCAACCAATGACGAAAAAACCTCGACAGATTTACTACGCGTGTTCTAACGTTTGGTATTTATCGGATAGTCTCATGTTATTTCACACGTCCCAAATAAATAATTATGGAACTATCTTGAGCCAGTACAAACTAATAGTATAAAAATTAATTCACTTGACAATATTTAAGCTCTCATGCTGCTGTCTAGAACTAGTTTTCAATGTAAGTATGTACAATGAAGAAAATAGGAACAATCACAGTCCATCGTATAAAATCTACACCATGCCAGGTCTGACCACTATAATTTGGACAGATCTCTGATTTTATTTAAATACCCAACAAGGCCCTTCAACACTGCTGATTTCAAAGTGACCAATCTGGGATCAACAGAAGAGACTCCGGTAAAATGAATGCCAAGCCAACTCTATCTGCTACTGACCAGAGTTCCCTAGTAGTCGTTCAACTGCTGCATGAACATTTCCTGAGGTTGCAACAAGAGCTCTTATGTTCTCTTGAGTGTCAAAGAATCCCATCTCTTGAAGCTGTGTAAGTTGGGTGGCATACAATTGCTCCGGTGGCTCTGAGAAGACAACATCGTCAATGAGATGAGAGCAGTATAAAGAGTGGGTAAATAAACAACTAGGTTTCAAAGCTTTTTGGAGATTTTCTATTACGTCCCTATATTTTGAAATTCTATCACTGTAGCACAGTGATAATCTGATGCTAAGGGTCAAGAATAATTTTTTTTAAACTATTTGGACCAGATTACAATATTTTTTAGACTAATCTTTAGCAGAAACTTGAATGAAATTTTTTTCAAAATTAGATCTAAATATGAACTTATAAAATTTTGGGACTCAATTGAAAATCTGCTAATAATGGAGAGAGCTACATATTAATATGACGTAGATTTGAGATTTTTTCATGGGAAATAATTACTCGGTCAAGATACTCTTTAAGGACATGTCAAAACAAGTTGAACCAAATATACACCTAAAATATATTTGAAAAAGTAAATAAATAAATAAAAAACAACGCTAACCATCTGATCTATTTGGAGCAGCCAGGCTTCCAGCTCCAAGTCCACCAAACATGCTCGATAACATCTCCAATCCCAAATTGTTGTTCAATGGTCCTATCAATAAAATCATTTGATAGAAATTTTGATCAACTATAACAATTTATGCTGTATTCAAATGACAATTGCATAGTCCCACGCCTAACTTAAAACTTTCCCCTTTGATTACTAAGGAGTACAATCTGTTTAACGCAAGTGGTCTTTCCAATAGTAGAACATTAATTAATCGGTCATGGGTGATAAAAAAATCTTAAATTTGGTTTTGAATAGATTTCAGGACCCTTTGAGCAAATGATTTATAAAATTATAATTCATATAACTCCAATGTAATGGATTATCTTAAGATATGGCTAACCAATTTTAATCGCCAATGCAAAACTACAGCAACAATGGTACAAAGTTTCTATTGACAGAAAGAGAAGACGGTTGGCTTGCATACCAGTGCCTCCGCCAGTTTGACCAGAGTCCCTGCAAAAGCTTATCAGGTTAATAGAAAATCAAGGAAGGTAAAAATGATAAACAAACAAAAACAAAGTTCACAAGGACATGCATACAAGTTGTATTTTAACAGATTAAACCAAGTCAGATAATCTAAGCACATAACCATCTCAAACATTAACTATACCACGTCAAGATTTAAACCTTCAGTCTATTAAATCTCTGGCAAAAACCACATTCAAGTGGCCTAGCATTGAACGAAGACTTTGTTAGATGCTACCATATGGTCTAGTAAGAAGAATATCCAGTTCCCAAGCTCACAAAGCAGCTTTGCCACAATAATAATAATTTTAAGCATGTAATAGAATTCTAGCTTTGAATTTTTCACTTCCAAATACCTATGATATGATGCACAACAAAGAATCTCATCTACTTTGGAATTAAAATGACATTACATACATTGATCAGCAATCTTTATTTTGAAGTTGCTTAAACATACAAATGAAATATCTAGCTTTACTCTTAGACAGCAAATTTAGATTCTCCAACTTCAATATTGTTGATGGATAAATATTAAATATTAAAAATTCCTGGTTTGCAAGCTCAAGCATGACCAGACAGTGGGAGTTATAAATAAATAGCTTTTCTTGCAAAGTAATCATGAAAAAAAAAAAGTAAAAATGCTCATACAACCACTAATATTTTTAGGACAAAAATGAGGCATCTAGGCCTAAAATGGGCATGTTAGTTACTGGGGCTTAGCAAATAACTACATGGAGCAAAAGGATAGCAACTTCAACACATTGGAAACTTTTATTTCTTTTCATGGTATGGATGAGTACAAAATTACCAGGTGAGAATAGAAAGGCCAGGATTGTGACTTTACTTACCGTGTTGATTGCTGCTGACCAAGCTGAGAAAGAAGAGCTTGCTGGAAAGACAAGAGTTGCTGTCATTGTGCAATAAGGTAGGATTGTTAGAATGTTAATTGAAAGCAAGGATGTATCAATTAGATAGGCAAGCAATATAGACGCTTCTTTATCACAGTATATCACAATTTAAAGAATAGAATTTTCTGCAGCAAGCCAGTTCAACAAGAAAAAGAAAGGTAATTCAACCATCTGCCCTATACTGCCTTTGGGTCCAATTAGGTCTGGATGCTCATTATTTCTTCCATACTAAGAAAAACAACTATAATTTATCACAAAGTAACTATATGCAAACATCTGTAGCAACATTGTAATGAATGAAAATTTGAGTATTAAACCACAGTTATTATTGCAAGACAAGACATGTATCCAACAACCCCACGCTTGAGAAAGAATATTCATTGAAGTGCTACAGCAGAGTGTTGTGTTTTTCTTTTTACTTTTATTGTTATTTACTTGTATAGTTGTATGTTTTGCTTAAGACCAAAGACTTGTTATATTTAATTATGAATATGTCATGAATTTTGAGCATTTTTTTAATTTGAGTAGTTACTTATAGATTAATTTGTATATAAGATTTCTAAATAGAAATCATCCCGCTAAGTACTATCCCACTACAGCATTTTTGGCTTTAGCTGCTATGCACCATGAGATTGATAACAATGATTTAAATTCATGTAAAGAAATAGATATGTAAATATAAATACCTGCAATGTCTCAGGTGAAGAAAACATGCGAAGGAATTCTGGATTTTGCATTAATTCTCTAAGAGAATTTAAATCAGGCATGCCCCGCTGCTCAGTATTAACACCGAGAATCTAAAATGTACATTAGATATTAGAAGGACCAATTCAACAAATGCGGATTGCACCTTGTACTTGTACTTGGTATGGTATGTAGATACCTGATTCAAAGTTTGTGGATTGGAAAGGATACTTTGCATCATTTGTGAGATAGCTGGATTTTGCATCAACTGGGTCAATAAAGCAGGATCTGGCATAGCACTACCACCCAGCATGCTTTCAAGGTCTGGCAGACCAAGCCCTCCTAAGCCAGTAGGTCCTTGCTGCCTAGCATCCCCACCAGGGTTTGACCTTCTGGTGTTATTTTGGGCACCACCAGCTACAATGTTCACCGTCATTAATGACAGTATTAGTCACAAGAAACAAAAAATTGTATTTACTATCCTTAAAACAGACCATAATATCAGCATAAGGAAAAATGCTTTTAAAACCAACTGGGGAAAAGGGGGAGCATGTGACAGGATTCTGAGAAGAAAAATATGGTATCAGAACTTACTTCCAGCAGTAGAGGACCAAGGATTTGGAAGTGGGTTGGTATTAGGTACGGGAGAGCCAGCAGTTGTTTCAGAACTAGTGGTTGAGGGATTAGTTGATTGGTCCCTAGCTTGGCCAACATGAGTCCCTGAAAGTGCTGCGTTGTTTCCTGTATTACCAGCCATTGTAGTGGCATTTAAAAATGGTTCTTGAACATTTTCATACATGCGCCTCAGCATGTTGAATCCCTCAGGCGAAGATTCGATGTTGCTCATTGCTCTGTCTGTATTTCTCATCATTTCACGCATGATCTCAGGGTTTCTTGTAGCTTCAAGGGTCTGGCGGAGAGTGCTGGGATCATTAAGTATGTGTGCTAGCTCAGGGTTTCGATCCATGAGCTCTTGCATCTGTGGATTATTCATTATAAGATTCCGCACTATCTCTGGATTATTTATTAGATTCTGCATAGCAGGTGTATTCATTATTTCCCTCACTAAATTGGGATTAGAAATAAATGGTTGCTGCATCTGCTCAAGATCAGGAAAACCCTGGCCAAATAAACCATTGCCACCAGTTCCATTGACACCTAGTCCAGGGAATAGTGAACCTCCCAAACCAAACCCTCCTAAACCCCCACCTTCATTAGTAGGAGCACCTCTGGGATTATTTGTTGTGGCATTGGTGCTATTAGTATTGGTCCCACTGCTGCCAGTCGTATTGATAGGGGCAAAGCCTCGAACCAAATGGACAGTGTGATCTGCCTCCAAACCTATAAAGATGAAAAGAAATTTTGAGTTATGTTCACTCATTCAGGGTTCAACTGTAAGGCATCACACAAAAAATTCCTGAACGGTTTTAATCATTAGCTAACTGAATCTAATTGCTTTGCCAAACATTTGAGTAGAACAAATTCACTAAAAAAGTAAGCTTTTTGACTAGCCTACTGCTTTCTCTTAAATAATAGTTTTGAGTAATTCTAGAACAGACCAACTACATTACAACGGGAATCTCCTGCAATGTTCATTAACAATGAGATCATGAGCTCATGTATAATATGAGCAAAGTAACATATAACCGTGATGCTGAAAAATTGAATTCAATCTTGCCACAATAACCAAATAGAGGATGGCAGAAGAATATTATAAAAGAGGTTAATAAACTTAATCTATAGATTACAAATGCAGACATATAAAAAGTTTATTTAGTTTTAAAAAATAGGAAATAATTAAAAAAATCAAAGGCTAAGTAATTAGTATCACAGGATCACCTAATATGGCTTCATCACATTAATTTATTTTACCGAGACAGAGAAAGGCATCAATCCAGAGCGCTAAGATGTAATACTTATGATTTCTCAAATAATCAATCATAGCCAGAGACTATTTAAAACTTTTTATCCCGCCCCACCAAGCCTCGTTTTCTTTTTTAGAAAAGGAAAAGAAAAACAGTTTTGATAATTTCAGCCCTTAGAACTGAGTTTAAGCATATTACACTTTTGTATCTCTAATATAGAAGATACTTTCTTTTTCAATAAAAATTTACTATTTTTCGATGATTAAACAAATCCTTGAAGGTTAACAAAACTGGAAAAAAAAAATAGCAGCTTGGTATTACAAAATCAACAATCTTCCCTGAGTGAAACAACACTTAATTGGGTGAGAAACTAACACCCTTCACTTCCACATCAAACACCCCATCTTCCTTTAAAAATAGGTTAAGAAACATCATAAGCTAGACATTTCGAGTTGAGCGATTTTATTTAACTAAACAGCACCACATTAATTTAAATATAATCAGAATCACATGAATACCCTTCACGAACACAGTAGAATCAGTAATACCTACCCAAACATTATTCAATTCATAAAATATCATTTTAATTATAATAAAAAGATAACATGGGGGGTGATAGAGTTACCGTAGCTTTGAAGGGTTTGATCGTCCTTCAAGATGCGACCCTTGTAAATGAGACGCTGTTGTTCGGCGGGGATGTCGCAGTTGCGAGCGACGAGATCCTTGAAGGAACCGACGGTGGAATCGAGGGAAATCTGAACGGAAAACTTGGAACCGTGGGAGCAGCGAACGTTGATGTTGACGTTGACCGCTTCTGATTCCCCAACAGTAGCATCACCTCCCATGGCGTCTATCCCAACCAAGCACGGGAGGCGCGTCGCTCTCACGCTCTGACGGAGATTGAATTGAATCGAATCGAAGGGTGAACCAAACCCTAACCCTAGAAAGATCAAAGAGTGTGTGAAAACCAGAACGGGAACACAGTGCGAGCTCCCTGCGAACTTGAGAGAGAAATCGACGGAAGAGAAGAAAAGAAAAATTTTAATAACAAAATTAAATTACCCACATGTATTATCAAAATTTAAAGTTTAAACAGTTAAAAAAATATTGAAGTCTAGATTTTTTTAAAATTATTATTATTTTAAATTTAAGTTAATATGAGTTAGCAAAGTAAATGATTTACGAGTGAATGACATTTTTAAAATTATTAGATATATTTAAAAATATATAAATTATTAATATTTTTAACTTATAATTTAATAATATAAGTTTATATATATTTATTATTTAATTTTTTATAAAAATTTCTAATTTTTTATTAAATTTTTAAAATTTATTATTTTATATCTTTAAAATATGTTGTCTCTTATCTTTAAAATTTTGTTATTTTTTTTCTCTTTGTATCTTTGAGTATTTTAAATCTTTAAACATCATTTTAAGAAAGTATGGTTTTTGATGCAGTTCGAATTTATGATAAAAAATAACTTTTGAATAAATAAAATGTTGAATGTCATTTTAGATCTTTAAAGTTTTTCATAGGCTCTAATTATAAAGTTAATAATTTTTAGAATTAAAACTTTCACATCCACTCTCACAATCTCAATTCATTATATAAATAATCTTTTGTATTAATACATTATTCAATGTCATTTTTGTATCACACAATTTCCGTAACATTCACTTAACCAATTTTTCTAGTTTAAGCAAAAATTACCAAAAAAAAAAAAAAACTCACTAGAGGTAATTCGCTTAAGAGATATATAAATTGCTTAAGTCGTGCAATACATTACAACATTAGTTTAAGTGATAAATATTAGCTTAAGTTAATAGGTATTGACTTAAGTAAATTTTGACAAAAAAATTAAATTTAAATTTGTCTTTGATTTGCTTGAACGTATGAGTGTTGGTTTAAGCAAATTTTGATAAAATTTATTAGTTCATCACTGTCTAAATTTCACTCAAGCGGATAATTGTGACTTAAGTAAAAATTATAACGACTGAATTTTTTGCATTTCTTTTGGTTCAACAGAATCTCTTTAGTTATTACTTCTATTTTGATTAAACCAAAGTGTTAATTTTTAATATAATTGGGATGAGTACATGATATTTTCAAATTTACAAAGATTATAGTTGAAAGTATAACAATCCAAAGGAAGAATGATCATGTAAGTTTAGGGTAAATTTATAAAACAAGTTTGCATACTATTAAAAAGGAGGAATTGAAATAGAAGGAAAAATTGAACAAAACTTCTATCATAATATTACAAGAGAGGATTACCTAATTTTATTAGATCTCTTATCTTGGATATCTCTTTTTAGACTTTTATCAAGAAAATTTCCATTGCAACCACTCAATTTATCATTGTTTACTTTAAAAACAAATATAGGAGTGAGTTTGAGAGAATATGATATAGTTTCACGTGAATGAACAATTATGTTTTTTCTTAAATGATAACTGTCTTAAAAAGAATTATGTTTAAGAATAACTTGTTTTAAATATCTAAGAGACTAAAATCCTCTATTTGCAAAATTTTTTAAAACATATTATAACAAGTCATTTTGCTAACTTATTTATGAGTCACTTATTTCACTATCTCAGTGTAGCTTTCATCTTTTCCTTATCAAATTTAGTATTTTTTCATAATATCTATAAATATTTTTTATTATAAATTTTGAAATAAAATTATTTATAGAAAATTACTAATACATTTATTTAAAATGTGTAACAGTACTTATAAATCTGATAAGTCATTGTCTACCCTATCTGAATTCTATTTGAATTGACCAATGTTATTCTTATAATATTTCAGAGATTAAAGGATTCTAATCTCACTATCTATTAATATAAAATTAACATTAATAATTGTTTCACATATGAGAAGTCATAGAATATCCTCTTGATTTATAAGGCACCATAAAAATTATCTCTGCCAAACCCTTATATTTTTATATGTATTATTCCTTTTGAATTGTGGTGTATGCTTGAATTATATAAATTTTTTTATGTTGAATTATAAATATGAGAGCTATATGAATGATGAATGAAAAGTTGTGTACTCACAGTGTTGTTTGATAGTTTTCTCGTATGAGATTAATAGTATGAGTTTGTGATCAATCATTAAGTGAGTTAGATATGTAATAACCCAAGGATTATAGTCGAGGACTTGTATTACCTCATTTAGGGGAAAGATTAGAAGTTATGGGTGCAGGGTATCTCGTTCAGACAAGGTAGTCCTCGCTCAAACAAGACTGAGTTATACTCAATTGGAAATTCTAGAGTGATCTCATTCAAGCGAAATAAGTCTTGCTCAAGTAAGATAAATCTCGCTCAAGCGAGATAAGATAAGATCGCTCCAACTATTCTCTCGCTTAAGCTAGAAGCAACATTACTCAAGCGAGAGAAGTTCGCTTAGGCGAGGAGTCGCAAAAAAAATGGGGAGCTCTCTAGATCAATTCTCACTCAAGCGAGAATGTTTCTCACTCAGGTGAGATGTCTCTCGCTCAAGCGAGAATAGCAAAAATTTGGAGAGTTTCACTATCTGGTTTTCTCTCTCGGGCGAGGATGAGCTCGCCCATGTAAGAGCAGGGCTCGCTTAAGCAAGTGTTGGCTCGCTCAAGCGAGAGCGTGCGAACCTAGAGGGATATTTAAGGAGCCTCATTTCTTACCAGACACTCTTTCTCTCTCGTTTTCTCTTCGTTCTCTCACCTTTACACTTTAGAGAAAACTTTTTGAAGACAAACTTTGTTCCAATCCAAGTAGGAACATATATTTAGTGCTGATTTAGGTGAGTTCTTAGGACTTGGTTATCTACTCCTTGTTTCTTGATCTTTTTTTCTCCTCAAAAGTTTTCTACTTTGTGATAATAAGATCTGAGACCCATGGGTTTTATTTTTCTCATTGGGACTCACAAGGATTTTGAACTTAGAAAACCCATTCTAAGTAAGGGGAGCTTATCCTAGAAGGTCTTTATTACTCACTTGGGTATTTTGATATTGTACATAATCTTGTTTTAGCTCAGAATGAGTTGATGTATGAACAAACTTTAGAATAGAAGGCAGAGTATATTTGGCTGAACGGATTCTCTATAGTTCTATCAATGGTATAAGACTATATGTGATTGAGAAAAATGTTGAAATGTTGTAATATTATGTGTTGAAAATGTTTCATATATGCTGAGATACTTGATTAATGTTGTGAGCTGTTGGGTTTTATTATGAAAATATATGGTTGTACTAAGATTAAATAAAATTATATATGGTTGTACTAAGACTGAATAAAATTATATATGGTTGTGTTGCATTATGTTGACTTGTATCATTCTAAAGCTGAATTACATGTTTAAGTGATTAGACATGTAACAATAGTAAAACACTGAGTTGTGCTGTGTCTGAATTCAAATACTGAGATGAATCGCTCTCAGACCAAAAATAGTTCCTTCTTAATTACTTAGACTGTGAAACCAGTTGAAATTAAAACATTACATTTGTATTAGATGGACTGGAAATGAGCTGAATTATTGTATTGATCTATTAAATGTTGTTGATGTATTAAGTTGTGTAGATAAGAATATTATAGTTGTATTAATATTATGATTTTGGCTGTTTGATGTGTAAGCTCACCCATGCATTTGTCTGTATTGGCATCTGTATGCTACAATAACCGTACGATGGTATGTGAGCAAATGTGACACGTGGCCTGTCTACTTCATTTTGGAAGATTGTAATTTTATGTATTTTGTTAATATAGTTTAATTAACTATGGATGTAAGTACAAGATGTACATATTTGATAATTTTAAAAAATTTGTATTTTGAACTCTATGTAGAGCAAATACATATATTTTATAAACTTTTGAGTTGTATGAAAATACCTTTAGAACTTTGTTATTCTGTTGAGATATTGAATTTAATTTCTTATTTCGAATTAAATAGGAATTATATTTTCTATATTATATATATATATATATATATATATATATATATTATTTCAAGATAAATTTATACAGGAAACAATGATATATGATATTATTGATCATTTATAAAAGGGGATCGTGACAATCTCTATTAAAGTATTACTTTTTTTTAGCTACCTTAAAAATATATATTAATTGAAATGCATTAATTTTTATACAAGTAACTATCTTTCAATTTTTTAAAATATAGTTAAATACTAAATATTGGGGTTTTGCTTAAGCTAGTTTTTAGCTGTCTTTTTTTAAAGAATTTGTAAAATTAATTAGAAAGTAATAATTATCACAAATGAGATCATTAAAGTAGTATGAATACAGTCTTATCATAATATGAATGTTTAATAAATTTTGAATTTGGAAAAAATCAGTAATTAAAAAAAATAAAAAATAATAATCACTATATGTTTAGTAAAAAATTAATTTTTGATGAGTAATTATTTACTTTTATATAAAATCTTTTAAAATTTGAAAAAAAATTGTATTTTAAATTAAGTCAATTGAAGAATTAAGTTATATAAAAATCAATGAAAATTAAAAAAAAATTAAATGTGGTAATAGAAATAAAAAACAAAATTAATAGTTTAGTTTTTTTACTTGTTATTTTTTAGTGTCTAATATATTAGCATTTATTTTATTTATTTAACTTCATTAACAACTAGGGGCGGATAAAATGAATCATTTTATTAGGTTTAATCCAAACTCATGATAAAATGTAGGATTTTGATCTTACTTTTTGTACTCAAATTCAATTTGGAATCATGCGTTGGAATGAAAATTGAAAATGATCTTATAAGTCTCTATGTTAGATGTTCTGTGATCAATTTAGTAGAATGATGAAGAAATTAATAAAAAAATTGTTACTCAAAAAATATAAGGGTGATTAAAGGGAAAGAAAAAGATAATAAGTTATTTATAATCATAAAGTAATGATACAATTAAAAAAGTTTTATTAATCAACTAATATACATAGGATTAAATGTTCTACGAAAATGAAAATATTAAAATGGATAAATGGTCACACACACAAAAATAAAATAAAAACATAATTGTATACATAAAAAT